CAAGCAAACTCATCTATGATTTAGCTTTAGATTAACCAAAAGGCAAATAATGAATGTGTGAGGTGTTTTATGATAATGATCATGCTTTCCAAAAAGATGATCCAGTAGCTTAGTTTATACAATATTCCTCTGTGTCTGAAAGTGCTTTTAATCAGACTGGTTTCATATTATAAAATAAAAGTTCACATCTTAAATCTAAGATTTAAAAGTTTTTTTTTCTTTTTACAGCACTGGACCGCATGGGACCAGTGGGAACTATATTGTAGGCCTTGATTGGGAACACACACACACACTTACTAACACACACACACACACACTTACTAACTAGAACAAAAAGGCTGGAAATGAGAGCCCCAGATGAGGCCTTAGGTTTCACAGGCCATGAAAAATGTATAATTCCTGATCTTTACATGAAACTCTAGAAGGAATAAGGCCTTACAGCAGCAGACGCTGGGAATCAGCTTCAGAACATTTAGCTTCTCCTTTCTCCCTTTCCTTTTTTCTTTAGTTCAGCCCATCTCTAGTAAACACACACACACACACACACACACACACACACACACATGCATTCTCATGTTCCATCCTGGGTTTTCCCTTGCGGAGTGTGAGAGACAGTAAATGGTGCAAGCAGAGTGACACGCTTTGTCGACACAGACTCTTGAAAACCACACTTGCGCCTTCTAAACCGGATTTCATCTCTGCTTTCCTCAAAGAAAGCAGAGATGAGGTGCTACACAAACAACCCACATTCAGGCTCTTGATTCTTGAAATAGGCCAAGCTGCAATTGCTATGTGTTCTAAGTTAAACATAAGATGTAGACAACTTTCGGGGGACACACACAATCCAGCACTTTGACAGTACTACACAAAATACTGAGTGAATGGATGCATATTCAAGGCCACATACAAGGAGGAAAAAAAGGTCAGTAAAATCCATTCAGCAGCTAACATGGACACAGACTGAAAGGATAGATATAGAGTAAGGGAGGGTGGAGAAAGGTTTACCACTGGTCACACTTAAAATAAGAGTCTATGAAATGTACGGATGAGTAAGTAAGGATACAGAATAATATAAAGAAGGCAGAGATGTGAGGGAAATCTGCCATCACTGCTACTAGCAGCAGGAAGGTCTTCTATAGAAAACAACCCCAGACACCGTCAAAGACTTCCTTTCACACACTCTCATGAACGCCCGTCCGAGCCCACACACACTCACTATAACGCTCACATACACACGCAGAGAATGAAGACATAATGCACCATTGTTTGACCGGAGAAATATCTTGCTGTGTGTGTGTTCTGTGTGCGAGTATGTGTGTGTGTGGCAGTCAGTCAGCTTGTCAAGTCCTAGTGGAGTGATCAAAGCTGGTACAAACCACCCAGAGAGATCTCTCCCTTCCTCACCCATTCATCCTTCCCTTCTCACTCTTTCTATCTCTCCCTCTCTTGCTCTGATACAAAAACAGCATTGGGCTGGCTTGAGCAGCGCAGCCAATGAAATTGGTGTATTTAGTTCCAATAATTCCCAGCTGTCCCCCTACAAGCACTGAACCCTGGATGGCTGCAATGCAGCATGGGACAGGATCAGAGCATAATGGGAGACAGCATGGGAGCTCTGGCAATATCATAATGCCAAGAGTTTGCGCACACAAACACACAAACAACTACATACCATGTGAGCTCTGCTGGAGCAGCGCTATGATGCCAAGATGACACACACATGAACAAAGTCACACAATCTCCCACGTATAGACGTTCTAACACACATGTGTGCACACAAAAACCCACACACACAAAAACACCACAGGAGTTCCCTGAGAGTATTCCTATACTGCCAAGTTCATAAACACACACTCACACACCCCTCATGTGAGCGCATTCAGTACATCTATACACCTCTGCACCTACATATTCACACATACACCTACACCCATCTGCGCAGGACACAGAAAGTCACCCACATTTTTTAATTAACTATTAAGTTGAAGACTATTTAAACAAAGTAAAAAAAGTTTCATAGTATAAATGGTTGTGGTTTTTCAAAAGAGATCGCGAGTTGAACCTCAACATGCCAGAGAAATATGAGCATCTGTAACCAGAACCTAACAGCTAAACTGTAGATTCTGAAATGACTGCGGCTGCAGGCTCTGTATAATGCAGAAACACACTAAATGTTTTAGACTAAGACTGTATACAGTAGCAGCTGAATTCTAAAATCTAGCTACACCACAGCTTAGTCATCATAATAAACAAGGGGACTTTTCAGACTTTGCCGACTGATCTTGTCACCCATTCACTCCAGATCAAATATGAGAGGGCTTAGCTAATGGCTTTTTAATAGGCCGAGAGACTTCAGGGTGGGACTTAGTTACAACGCGTACACATGCACTCTCACTGGCATGAGAGGATCTCAACGAACACTCTACTCTCATTGTAAGGCCACATGACAAGTGTGCAAAAAAGTGTGTGTGTGAGTGCAAAAGGATATTTTTCCGTAATTTAATTTGGCGATGCAAAGCTAGAAGAATGATGCCTATATCACAAATAGGGTTGGGATCAAAACTCATTTAGAAAAAATATGAATAATGAAAAGTTTAAGAGGGATCAGGATGTCAAGTAGAATGACATGGATTGAATCATTTATCATGTGTGGGCTACAGTAAGTGTACATCTGAAAAATGCAGTATTTGACGTTTGTCATCATTCATCATTTGAATCCACAGCAGTTACAGCATCATTTCCACAAACACCATTTTCTAGAACAGTATTAGTCATAACCTCAAAAACAAATTAAACTAGTAAACCATACCAAACCACATATTCCACAGTGAAGTTAAATCAAGGCAACAACTGACCACAAGACACTCAATGATGCATGACCAGAAATGTTGAAGAACAGAATAATTATTTGGTTAATACACTTATTTGTATATTCAATTAAAGACTAAATGCCCACAGAAACCGTTTGAATATATCCACCTGATGTACTGAGGATTAAACCCATCACTGATGCAGAGAGAGGATCAGTTATGTACACAAAGTAACCAGCTCCCCCACAGTTAATGTCAATGTGTGTTTTGTCCCATTCAATTGAACAACCAATAGAGTGACTCTTTACACACAAATAACTGACTTCAGAGACACGAGTCAAGTCGTAAAGAACAGATAATTAACAGACAGGAACATAAGAGGCAAAAAGCGAGAGGAGATATATAAACTTTTTAAAAAGTGGAAGCAGAATAAGGGACAATGTGCAAAGTTTGAGGTTTCATCTGCCTGAAAAGCCTCAACAGTTTGAGTTTCCAATTATCTGATTTTTCTACCAGTGTCGAATTGAGTCGCAAGCTGCGGTAGCAAGGTGCAATTTATCAGATGTGGGTGAAAGCCTACTCAAATTGTGTCCCTAAATTGCAACGTATTGATTTAACAGTAAAGCAATAGAGAACGGTCATAATGAATATTGGTGGGAGTTGGTGAATGTTGTTCCCCTGGGCAACGAGAGAAAGGTGGCAGCAACATCATGTCCAATTACAGCCGAAATTCAGGAGGAAAAAAAACTTAAAGGCTAACACAATGTCGATACCAATGTACTGACTGCACTCTGTGTGGACTAGGCAACCTCAATCTCGACAAGGCTTTCAGGTGGAGAGTTAGCTATGTAATTTGAGGGAAAAGATTAAAACAACACCAAGTCTTAGTAGGGTATCACAATTATATTTAAATATCTTAATAGGGGATGAAACCTACTAAGCTCCTTTTATAAGGATTTGACACAAGAAAAATGTGTTGTGTTGAAAATGTGTTGAATTAAGAAACTTGGTAATATTTTTTTGTTTGCTAAAACATTAACAAGGTAACCACAAGGTCTGCCTGAGAAGGTCACCTAGAGTGTGATAGAGGAGTTTTCTGTCAGCATTTCCGAAAAGCAGTCTTTTAAATTGTGAATCTCACAGATCTCTTAAATGATTAAACACTTTACAAAGTTAGGATTATTTGTCTGGCTCAGTCCGCCCGTGACCTGCCTTCTCCTCCACTCACACCAGCAGCGTGTGGCTGCACGCCTATCTGCAGAAATATCACTTTAATAACCCTGCTATGATCACCGGGGGACTATGGTGCCAACACAGTAGTCTGCTAATAAACACCTTATCCTTTTCATCAGCCTCGACTTGTATGTACTGATTTATGGGGCGCTTTCTTTAAGCCAATTGTGACGAGCTGATTATATGTACGCATTTCATCTTCAACTAGGCTACATTATGTTTGCAGACAACGGGTTGTCTTCTGAGATATAATTGCCCTCATGCTCCAGGCTGCTGTGAGTGTTTGTGACTTTTGATCAATTTTCCGATCGTAGCAGTGTTGCGTCGCCGCTACATCGCGAGGCGCTCTGCAATGAGACATTAGTCGGCTAATCATGGGCTCCGCGTCCTGCCCTTCACAGCTTCCACCTTAATCTAACTGCAACCCCGGAGTTCATTTACCCATTTATAGTGCTGGAGAACAATCACTGCAATGTTCATTACTGACAGGGACTTCAGGAGTGTTGGCAGTCATATTCGTATTTATCTGTTTCTCAAGAGCAAATCAAGACCACAATTTCACACTCAGCCGTTACGAATTATGTTTCAATCGTGATAAATTACTTAGCCTATTAGTCGTTTCTCACAGGAAAACGTGGGATGCGAGTTGTGTATTTCAGTTGGCACCGCACACTACAAGCAGGCAAGGAAATGCGCAGATGGACCTGTTTTACACCTTAAGACGCTGGGTAAAGCATCCCCTCATCGGCCCAATTTAAATGGAAATACGCCACAAAAAGAAATAAAAGTAGCCTAAATGTCTGGCAGGAGCTACTTCTGCCCCCCCTCCGCCTACTTACAGGCATGCTGCCACTGCCATACAGCCGCATCTCGGCAATAAAGGAACGCTTTCATCGCTCTGAAACAAATTAAGAGTATTTTTCTTTATTTAAAAGAAGAAGCGCTGTGCAGCCTTACCTTGGGCGACTCCTCGGTGTGCAAGCAGCAGGAGGAGCAGGATCCCCGGCGTGGCGCACATCCTCACCAAGCCGAAACCCCCGTGTCCTATTCCACTTCTCTGTCCACTTTTCCCCATTACAAGCAACGCGTAAAACACATAAACACACACAACTCCTCGGTCCACGGCGGGGGCGATGAGAACCCCCCCTCCACCTCAGGGTCTGCTGATTAATCAAACGAGTCCAAAACCAAAAGATGGGTGAGTGTATAGCCTCTAGTCCCGGTGTCGGAGTCCGTGTGAAAAGGCGCAGGTTAAGCTGTGAGAAGAGCTCGGCGGTGGAAACAGCCACGGGGTCCCTTCACTCAGCGGCACTGCTGCCTCGCCACTAAGCTCTGCTTCTCTCTCCGTGCGCTCTCTCCTTCTCCACTCTCTCCGTTTACGCAGAGACAAAAATGCCACCGCCCTCTGGCTACCACACTATGTGTTTCTTTCTCTCTCCTTCACTCATGCTTCACACTTTAATAACATTGATAAATGCAAATACAGCCACAGTCATTATGTATACTCTGAATAACAAGTCTGAATAGTAATATTTGTCTTGTTTGATTAGTCGATGCTCTCCTACTTATATTCAGTGATTGGAATAACATCATATTTTATTTTAGACTTTTCCAAATATATTTCAAATGTTGAGTTTCTCAGTTTATTGTTTGTATCTCCCTTTTCTATGACTTAGTTATGCTTGTGAATTACATGTCTGTCTAGTCTCAAAAAAACGTTTTGTATCCGTCTAATGTTTGCGCGTGTACGCGCGTGTTCGCCCGTGCGCGCCTCTGATAACTGCCGGTGTGGAACATACAGGGGCCACGAGCGCTCACCGACTGATGTCTGCCCCCTGACGGCCACGTGCGTAGACATGCAAATGATGTAGGCCTACCGTCAACAGTTAATTTCTACCACGCAGTGTATCTGCTCTAATAAGTAAACTTCTGTAAAAATGCACACGACTGTAAAGGATTCTATAAACAATATGAAACCACTTTTGATTCATGATTGTAATGTGTAAGACTGCGTCCAGAATCTTTATATCAAATGGACCGTCAAATGGAGGTCACTCACCCAGCTAATGTACATTTATTTCCCACCTCAACTTTTTTTCTTTTCAAATGTATCAGAGGTGAATGGCTGAAATGTTCAAATATAAAATGTTTTTCCATTGTACAAGCAGATGTCATTATTTGCTACCATAACCAAGTAATTAAGCTATATAGCCACCTTCTTTAACCCTGGTGACCGCAGGTTTGTTTTACAGTTGCCATATTTCCACACACTCATGATAGCACAAGTGGCTTTACAAGTACAATTGTCATGTTCCCAAATAGAGGAATTAAATCTGATATACCATTTCTCTTACAAGATAAGTATTTACCACATTTGTTTTACAACAGTGTCACCTTGAAATGTTTGACTACTTAAAAAAAGTTAAGTGACTGATAAAAACAAAAAATTCCCTACATATTTGTGTGGGCCCTCGCCAGACCAGCGCACGGACGCACACACACACGCACACGCACACACACACAAACTCTCCACACTGTTGCTGCACAGTCATTTGAGCAGCACAGCCTGGATCGTGCATTGTAAATGGCAATAGTAAAATATGTGCTTGGTGCCATTTGTCACCACAGCAGCCCAACAGCTCAGTGACTGCCACTGGAAGTAGCTGCTGCCCACAGGGACCTGTAAAAGCCTTTTTATTTTGCCACTTTATTGAGAATGGGAAAGCAATACGTTACACAAGAAACATATGGCACGCTTGGTTATGGATCAGCACTTACACCAGCGACAGTCACTGGCAGTGTGGGTTTTAATGTGGTAGTCCAACACATATAGACACACATACATTCTCTATGTACTGCCAATGACTGAAATGCAATATGTAAGTAGTGTAGCAGGCAGATTATTATAAGTTTGTTCACGAGTTCGACAAACCACTTTTCATTATACTTAAGGCCCCAAACAAGTCCAAAACAAATGCACTGATTTTATGTTAAATGTTAAGCTGGGTCCTCCTCACGTTTCACAGTCAAGATATCCATTTAAAAGAAATTGTGCAAGTGAAAGGGGCATGCCGAATAACACTTGAACTGAAACAGTACCCAATTGCAGTGTGTGTGTGTGTGTGTGTGTGTGTGTGTGTGTGTGTGTGTGTGTGTGTGTGTGTGTGTGTGTGTGTGTGTGTGTGTGTGTGTGTGTGTGCATCTGCCACACAGCACACCAGCTCTGCTTTTAACTAAACTCTCAGAGGGCTATGTCATATTATTTTCACATTCCTTTTTCTTTGAAAGTGAGGATCATCCAAGACCATCACTTTATTCATGTTCATCATCATTATAGAGATGATATACAGTATACATGATAGGATATATTTTCATGCTGGTTTCCTGTGCCTCTATTCCATAGCATCAAAGATGCAGTGATAATGAGAAGGAGAAACAGAGGAAGGGATTAGAAGGAATCCCCACCTTGATAAAGCTGAAAAGGGAAAAGTGAATTATATGAAACATATTTAGCTTTACTGCTTTTATGTAATTAGTCTACTGTTGCTAGTGTATGTTATTGATGCACAAGCTTATTATTAATGTCAATAGAAAGGTATAATATGATGGGCCGTGTAGGCCAAAATTCAAACTAACCTTGGGCACACACTAATGAAAGCATCTGGCCTTGCACACACACTACTGAAATACTCACTACTACTGAACACCTCACACACACACAACTGAAAAGTAAACCTCACACACATACTACTAAAAACGAACCTCATACACACGCAACTGAAAATTAACCTCACACACACGATTGAAATCCTCTCACATTCACTACTGAACACCTCACCCATTTCTACTTTTGGGGAAATTAAGGGGAACGTCATTTAGACTAAATAGACTACCTAGAACACATTTCTGACAAGTAACCCCCCCTAGTGTCAAATATCTGCGCTTCAATGGTAAAGTAACTCTTATTTATAACTTAATTAACGAGGATGATTTTTTTGGTTTACATTTGTTTGAACATACTTTGAATTGAAGAATAAAGAATATGTTAACTAAATATAATTGAATCAGCTAAATTAACTGACCAGATCATAATCTTATTTCTAATTGTGCATATATGTCACTCCGGGTTTACTGTGAATGTTTAGGGCTAAAGTCCTGATGTGACACCAGTGTCACAGCAATATTTATGGCATTTGTTTCATATCCATTTAATCAAGAAATGTTTCCACAACAGGTTAAATGTAATCAGAATCAGAATACCTTTATTCGTCCCACAGAGGGGACATTTAAATTTGTTACAGCCGAAAAGAGCTGAAGACAGCTTAATGTTTAACAAATGGCATGTAAGCATTTTTATTCTTAAATGGCTTGAATGTTAACTTTAGCAACAAAAAACCTTTCCAAATGGAGCTAGTTCTGTCACATGTGTTAGCCTGGCACATGGACATCTTGGACATGTTGTTATGGGAACACAAAAGCAAATGACAAGGACCATGACCCACCAGACTGTTCAGGGTGTGTCACTTAGGGACTTCATGAGATAAAAAAAGGCTGAAGCTGTATAAGGAACTTTCCAGAACATTTACATTTCATGTGACACCTGTGTCTTAGCAATTCTGTCTGCCTTCCGTGTTGCACCATTAGGACCCACTGATATAAAATGCTTAACTGCCTAAATTGCAACTATGCACTTTTTGGTGGGCTAAGCCCCAACTTGACATATTTTTGGCTTCATTTATAGTGCCTGAATGTAAGTTTAAATATTATGCAATGCAAAGTTTTTCTTGGCCTACATTACCGTTATAGAAGGAAAGATAACAGCGATAGTTATGTTTCAGAATAACCTTTATTGGAAATTGTTAGAACAATCTCACTCGTCACAGGCTTGAGCTTCAACCTCAGGATCCATGTATCTGTGATCCTCTCCAGAATGGAAGTAGTCGTCACATACAGAGCATCAACTAGTTCCTGAGCAGTGTCCTTCACGCTGATATCCAAGAGAGGGAGTTACACAGTCACAAGATGGAGGAATAGAAAGCAGTATTCAATGTTTACTTCAGATTAGCTCCACGTCAGAAATGATCATGCTTGTCATATGTCTATCTCCATAGAGGCTGAATCATCATGTTAATCACATAGCTATCATATGCCTCAAACAGTCCTGATGCTCTTTTGGTAAAGTAACTCAAAAGTAGGCTAATATAAAAGTAGTGTAACTCATTACATTTCAGAGACAGTAATATTGTAATGTAATGCAATTTGGAAGTAACTTGCCCAACACTGCAGATAATCCAGTCATCTCGTTGCTGCTTTCGGGCTTTCGGGCATATTTTTGGAATTATTGTTTGCATTACTTTCTGCTGACACTAGGTGGGTCCTGTGCCCACCTGCCCCAATGACGAGTCGCCACTGGTAATAATATAAATAAAAACAACACGGTTTGGGTTTGTTTGTTTAATATGATGAACGTTAACCAGGAAGCTTCAATAATTAACTCCAGCTCAACAAACCATATTGCAATATCTACGTTAACGTTATTTCTGGAACCAACCACGCATCTCTGCTTGTCTAGCAGACATCTCTCGATGGATGTCTTCTCACCACCTCAAGCTGAACCTTGACAAGACTAAGCTGCTTTTTCATCCGGGAAAAGAGTGTCCCACTCTTGACCTAACAATCAACATTGGCCCCTCTGTTGTTTCCCCGACTCAGACTGCAAGGAATCTGGGTGTGACCCTATATAACAAACTGTCCTTCACTGCAAACATCGCTGCTACAACCCGCTGCTGCAGATACACTCTTTACAACATCAGGAGGATACGTCCCCTCCTGACCCAGAAAGCGACGCAACTTCTGGTCCAGGCTCTCGTCATCTCACGCCTTGACTACTGCAACTCCCTCCTGGCTGGTCTACCTGCATGTGCCATCCGACCTCTGCAGCTCATCCAGAATGCAACGGCTCGTCTGATCTTCAACCTTCCTAAATTCTCCCACACCGCTCCTCTGCTCGCTTCACTGGTAACTGCTAGAATCCACTTCAAGACACTGGTACTAGCGTACCATGCTGTGAATGGATCTGGCCCTTCCTACATACAGGCAGTGTTGTGCTAGTTACTGAAAACCAGTAACTAGTTACCATTACTAGTTACTTCATTTCAAAAGTAACTCAGTTACTTTACTGATTACTTACACCAAAAAGTAATGCGTTACTGTGAAAACTTTTTTACAGTAACTTTTTCGTTACTTAAAAAAAGGGCTCCCATTAATGCCCTTATAGCCTTCATTTCAGTACTGTTATTGCATTGGAGAATAATACAATCTGTTGATCAACTTGACATGCATTATGCAATCTGGATTGCATCAATAT